AGATTACAACTGACATTTAGAAAAGGATTACGTTACTAAACTCTTGAATTTTTTTTAAAGATTTATTTATTAATAAAAGATGATCTTGGGAAAGAGACTATAAAAATTATTAGCAGAAAAAGGCCTTTTCAGTCTCGATAAATAATTGCTTTATTTCAAATTAGATTAGGTTGTGTTCTTTGATCTCAAGTGGGTGCGCTGTTTTAACGAATTAAAATTAGAAATACATGTAAAATCAGATTATGCTTGAAGAGGCGAAAATTTGGATAAATTTGAAATAAAGCAATTATTTATCGATACTGAAAAAGGCCCTTTTCTACTAATGATTTATTTATTTTAATTTCTCACATACATGAGGAAGAATTTAACAAGCATTTGTCTCCACTTCAGAATTTTTTCTTGTTTCTTTTTGTTTTTGGTGACATTACAAAATTAGATTAATCAAATATAGTACAAAACATGATATAAAAGTTAAGAATAATTATAATTAAATTATCAAAAACCAGTTTTCAAAATTAGTAATAATTTAGTGTGTCCCAGAACGATGTTTTAAAAATATTTTCTTTTCCTTCGCTAAATTAAGCAGTCAATAATGCAAAACATTGGGTTTACTATTAAAAACAGAGTTTTATTTAATATTTGTTTGTTTAATCGCATCTATCCAATTTCTCAATTCATATTTCAAGTAATATATATTTATATTATATGCTTAAGGTTTGAAGATTTTTATCTGGATATATTTTGATGGTTTTCAGATTTACAGACATTTACTTCTTAAATCTAAAATATCTAAAATGTAATCAAGACAGAAGCATATCGAGGTATAAAAATCAGAATTTTTATTTCATATTGAAAATAATAAATGAATTTTCCATTGATTCAAATGGCCATGAGGGATAAATGACCTTAAAGTTATTTCCTTTTGTTTTTTTATAATAATTTACCTTTTTTTCTCAACTAATGGTTTAATTCGAATGAATATATTTATATTCGAAATATTTATTTAAAGTTTGTTGTTATTTTTTATTAATTTAGTTTAAGTAAGTACGTATTTGATACATTAGGATTATATCTGTATTTTTATTTACTATTTCTTTTTTTTTCAAAAGTATTATTTATTATAAATTAAATCCGACATCCATTCATTAGCATTGCATGATATAGATAAGTATCTCGTTTATTTATTTATTGCATTGCTGCAACAGTTATTTGCTAATATCAACAACTCACTTATAACCTTCAAACTTCTTGTTGTACAATTCTTTTATTTTATTTAAATTAAGTTTCGAGATATATTGGGCTATTTTAATTGTTATACGTAATTTTTATTATGCGATCCCTATTCTATGTAAAAACTTATTTTTACACTCGAAAAATATTTTAAAATTAATTCAAAATTATCCACTGTATAAAAACAAGCAATAATAGAAGTGTGATTAGAAATTCATCCAATAACCAAATTCTTCGAGAAAAAAATTTTCTTTATAAAATAAATAAGTCGTGTTTAATGGAATTAGAGAGAAAATGAATCAATGGTAACAAATGCTTGAATAACTTTAATACATCGTTACCATAGCATTATTATATTAGGTCAATGTCTAATAATTATTAATTAATTAATTAATAATAATTTATTAAACGAGAAAATATACATGTTTACTTCTTAAGTTCCATTGGATAATACAAGTAAATTTTTAAAAAATATTTAAGTTTCATTATCCTTTATATTGGATGCATTGAGGACGAAAATTACTTTAACTTCTTTCTTTTCAAGTTCATTGTTAAGTTTTTTTTTTCTTTAATTATTAAAAAAAAAAAAAGTACTAACACGATAAAAGAAACTGTTTACAAGGTTACTATTATTTTTTCTATGTTTCTATAATTATCAAATAGAGAAAAGAATAGTAAACTAAAAAAAAAAAAAAAACTAGCAATAATAATGAACAAAATACAAAAACTAAATAAATTACTGTCGACGAACTAGTAATCATTATATGAATAAAAAAATGTAAAACAGTTCAGTCCTTTTTTCCTCTATTTCTCAACCGATTTTCCTTTTCCTTATTTGTTAAATATTGACCAGCTTGTTGATAGAGTTATCAACAGAAAAAAAAAATGGAAACAGGGTATGTAAATAAAAAAGTATCTTTGAAATATAGCTAAAGTATGAGTACAATATTGAAACGAAACAATTTCTACAGCCCGAATGAGCAAAGTGATTTCAAATAATTTTTAAAGGAGAAAAAAATTGAGATTGTTATTTCGCATTTGGAAAAAATCTCAATCTCCAAAATCGCTCAAATACGAATTTTCATAGGAATTGAAACATAAAATTTGTTGCTTGAATTTTTCAGCGATTGAGGAAAGTTGGTTCAAATATGTATATTTTGTTTAAAGTTACGATGTATTCGCATTTTTATTTGTCTATAACTTATAAAATTACACAAATGATACTTCGCTGTCGTCTTTTGTATGTACATATAAAAATAAATTTACGAATATATGAGTAGAAAAAAAAATATTGGAAACACGCAAATTCATTTGTACTTTCTACAAATGTTCAATAATGATGTTATGGTCGAATTTCACTACTTTGCGAAGAGTTTTAAATTTTTAGGAGCTAATTATTTATTCATGTTGTTGAAATGACAATACAAAATAAATAAATAAAAATATTATAAATGATAAAATTGATAAAGAGCAATTTTTTATTGAGAAATATTACAATCTGTCACATCCAAGGACACGAGTAATAGAAGCTCATTCACATTATACTTACAATAAATTATACAGAAAACTAAGAGAACTAAAAGTAAATGTATATAAACAAAAGGAATCTAAACTAAACAAAAAGAAATCAAACTAGACAAAAAGAAACTGAAATAGTCAAAATAACAACTGATAAACAACGAAAAAATATAAAAATATATGCAAAGCAATAATGATATATTTTAAAATATATTACTGTTAACAATCTAATGATAATTTTTAATGCATTAATTATTTACTAATATAGGTACTGATGAAAACATTAAAATGAATTTTTTTTCACAATTAAATTGTTAACTCTTTATTTTATGTAAGTATATATATATACATTAGTATATATTTAAATTAATTAAAAAGTAAAATAAAAAATAAACATATATTTATAATTTTACTAAATGAATATTATTGTTATAAGACTTTTATTTATTTAAAAAAAAAGTTTAGAAGATGTACATAGTAAACATTTTTCCCTGATTTTAGAAAGAAAAATAACCACCACCAAAAAATCCTGACTGACAAGAAGAAATTTTTGTTTGCTAGATGATATAGACAAATAATTTTTACAGGAAGTTTTAGACAGGTCTATAACATGTGTAACAGAAATGTTTGAAAATGGCCAAGTGGCCAAGACGTTACAAAAAATATATGTTGATGTAATCAAATAAAAGTTTTTTAACATTGAAAAACTTTTTTTAGATTCAAAAATTTTGCTTTCAATTAACTAATGAAAAATTGGCATCTTAATAAGTGCTAACAGGGTATAAGAAAAATATCTCCCTTTTTAGAAATAACTTTATAGTTTTCATTAGTGTTGCCAAAATCGGTCTTGGTCTTGCACTTTGCGAGACCAAGATCAATGCCGCTTAACTGTTGCAAGACCAAGACCAGGACTGGTAAGAAAAATCATTTTTTTAAATAAAAATTAATTCAAAAAAGTTACTAATACTTGACAATCTTAGTTACTGTATGTTAATAATTGATATAACTAATATACTTTTTCATTCAACTCCTCTAATTTTTCATTCTGGCTTGGTTAGGTTTCTCCTATCTCGTCTTGGTCTCGCATTTGGGCAACACTAGTTTTCATGCCTTGTTTTTTCAAGGTATACAATTTTTTAATATGTTTTTATTATTATTACGGTAGTTACAGGAACATTAATGCTTTAAGGAATAAAAGTTTTATATTTTCTAACTACATGTACTTATATTTAGTACTTAAAGCAAATGCGTTATAATTTAGAAAGGTAATATATCTTGTTTGATTGGATATTCGGCTCAGATCTCTAACAAAAAAAAAAAAAGTACTTTTTCCAACTTTTCCGGAGGCCAAGTTTTTTTCTTTTCCTTAATAATGGTAATTGTCGAAACATTAATGCTTTTAGGGATAAAAGTTTTATATTTTTTCATGTCAAGTGGTTAGGTTTAGCAGCTGAAGTACATACTCTATGATTTTGAAAGAGAAGATATTGCGATTATTTAAATATTTATATCAGAAAACATATGGTTCAAAGAAAAAAAAAATTTTCTATTTGGGGGAAGAACCCTTCGTGACTCCGCTAGTGGTATAGGAGAAAACTGTTTAATTTTTTCTATCTACTTGAATATAGATATATAAATTTCTGTAATTGAATTAAGTAATGGATTTTAGCAATTCTAAGCAGAGCTGTTTTAAATTTTTTATTTTTTTATACATTATTGTTTTGTTTTTTTAATTTTAAAAATTCTCTATCACTCGATAGCTTTTGGCAATGGTTTTAGTGGCTGATAGAAGCACGAAGATGGGCCCCTGAGGTTGCTATGGTCACACGGCCATATTTGATCCGAAGAGTGGAATGATAAAAAAGGCGCGGGGGTGGACGCCGCCATTTTTCTGCACCGCCTCCGTGTTGTCATGACAACCGCCCCCACTCACTATCGAGCCATCAGTGTGTGCCTACAATCTCTGGTCCAAATTAACATCCATTGACGAGAGCCTTGTTGACTCGGAGGATAAATGGAAAAAAAATTATGCACTGCGCTATGAAGGGGAGTTTTTTTTTCTCCCTACCTGCCCTTGAAAGAGGGAGCTATTCCATATTCCAACGCCTCCTTCATCTGGAATTTGCATATTGTGTTCGTTCAGAAAGTCCCCTATTTTAATGCAAGAGGCTATAACCTTCCAATTAACTATTTAAAAATGATTTCAAAAGGCGAGGTGTTTTGATTCTTCCCTTGCCTAATTGGAATGAAGGGTTTGATAATTCTTAACAAAACAAACAACTAACGAGTCAGATGGATAAAGACATTAATTTCACTCCTGAACGAATCCGATTCAAATCCTGCACCGGCATACCTCTTACTAGAAAATCAAGAGCGATTTGTCAGGTTGAAAACCAAGGTATTGTATGACTTTTCTTAGAAAATCTCGTGAAAAAAAGCTACTTGTCATTTGACAAGGGACATTTAAATAAGATGAATGGAGTAGGTACTCTTTTAAGTGGACCCTGGAGGCTTATAACCAAGGAACTTCAGCATTCAATTATTATTTTCATGAAATTATTTTTGTATGTACTACAAAACTTGTTCCATTCAATATAAAACACAGTATGAGCGGAATGTTTCTCTGTTTGAGGTAGTATTGCCCAAAATCGTTCTTGGTCTTGCAAGACTTTGAAAAACCAAGAATAAGACCAGGACTTGTAAAAAAAAAATCGATCTTTTAAATCAACATTAAGGCAAAATAGTTACTAATACTTGACAATCTTAGTTACTATATGTTAATAATTCTATAAGCAACATACTTTTTCATTTTACTTCTCTAATTTTTAATTTGGGCTTAGTTAGGTTTCCCCTATCAAAAAATTACGGCAATATCTCTAATATAAGACTATTGCGCAAGACCAAGACGGGCTCGCATTTGGGCAACACTAGTTTGAGGCCTTTGGCTAGAGTCTGAAGTGAGGTATCTTATCAGTTACACACACACACACACACACACACACACACACATATATATATATATATAATGTTTGTTAATTATTATATTTTAATTATTTAATTTAAACAATTAAATAAATAATTCCGCAAATATGGGCACCAGCATATATTGATTGGAAGCCCCGTGTGATGGTCCCGAATATCCTTATTTTGTATTTATCTAGTGGTATGTTTGGATTCCAAAAAAATTGTTTTGTAAATTTGGGTAAATTTACTATTTATTTATTTTTTTAAACCACTTTATATATATATATATATATATATATATATATATATATATATATATATATATATATATATATACACAATTTTTTGGAAGCCGAACATACCACTAGATAAATACAAAATAAGAATATTCGGGACCATCACACGGGGCTTCCAATATGCTGGCGCCCATATTTGCGGAATTATTTATTTAATTGTTTAAATTAAATAATTAAAATATAATAATTAACAAATATTCTTTGTCCTCTTTTCGATTCATAAACAGAATTCATAGCTGGATTGGCATTAAGTTATATAAAATAATCAGTACCTATTGGCTATAAAATTTAAAAAATTTATCACTTAATATAAAAAAAAAGTTCAAAACATTTATGTTAGAGATCCATTGGAGGGGCCCAAAAAAATTGCGAGAGTAAAAATATCGAAAAAAACAATTATTTTGGTTACCAAATGTACAATAGTAAATACAAAATAACGATCTTCGTTACTCTCAGAAGGAAGTCCCAATCATTCTCTGGCGATGAAAAATACAAAACATTTATGTTGGAGGACCGCCGGAGGGGTCTCAAAAATTTTCGGAAATTAACGAATAAATAACAATTATTTCGGTGACCAAACGTACAACAGTACTAGATAAATACAGAACAATGATCTTCGTAGACCTCAAGGGGGACGCCATTTATTTTACGGCGATAAAAAAGTACAAAACATTTATGTTAAGGGCTCATGGGGAAAGAGGGGGGCAAAAATGTTAGGCAAAAAATTATACCAACCAATCATTTTCGGGGCCAAACATACCACAGTAAGGATAAGTACAAAATAATGATTTCTCCCAATTATTCTACGGTGAAAAAAGTACAAATCTGAGGGGCCTATACAATTTGAGGAAATAAACGAATACATAATTATAATTTTAGGATACAAGAAAAAATAGATCAATGAATTCGGAACCCTCTTCGGACCTGATCATCACACAGCTAAAATCGTCACATAGCTTTGTCCAAGCATATTGGCCACAAGAGTCTTTCCTACTTGCGATGTTCTGGCGAATGTTGAGCATATGAGCACGACCTGCACAACATTGGAGAGGTTAAGGACCACAGATTGTATACCTCCAACGAGAAGTTTAAGGACTCATGGTAGTTGAGGAGAACTCACGCTGTTCAAGAAATTTGTTTATGGTAAAAATACAACGGTGGGTCCATGTCAGAATGAGAAGGAAGTATAAGAACTTTTTAGTATTATTTGTACAAGTACCTATTTTAAAAATAATGCTGAAGCATTCTTATTTATTTATTCTCATTTGTTTATTTTACTTTATTCCTAATATGTGTTTCCATCTATGTATGACTTCTGCATGTATTCGGGAGCAATGACCTACTGAGTACAGGACATATTCAGTCTGTTTCGGGGAAACTACTAAATGAAAGATTGAAAATAATCTGTACAAGAGCGGTTAAGATAAAAAATGGACTTTCTTTAATAAATGAGTAGGAAATTGACATCAATTTATTTCAATACTGGAGAATATAACCAAATAGCAATTTAGGGATGAAAAAAAATAATAGTTTCTTCATGTGGCTTTACGAAAACGATTTTATATTATTTCCAGTATTTAAAGGCTTTGAGGTAATTCAACTATGATTTTTTCATTGAAATAATTTAGTCTGTGTCCTTCTTCACCATATATTTTTTTATTCAGCGCTTTTTACAACGTTTAGGCCGTTACGCTATCCTTAGGTTAATTTTTTTTTATCTCTATTTTATCTGTAATAAAATTATGCAGCCTTGAGAGATAAAATAAAACAATTGGACTCAGAATTACGTAACGGCCGGAACGTTGCCATGTAAATAGAAAGCAGTAAAGAAATAAATGTATGGTGAAAAACAGCATAAATTATTTCAATACTTAAAAAGAGAATTCAATACTTAAAAAATATTTACAAATCATCTTGAACTACATTCTAAAAAAACAAACAATAATTGTTAAATAAATAATTATTCTTATTTGATAATTTATGTTTTAGATTTTTTAAAATTTATAAATGAATTCACATATATTATAATGCATATATGATATATTATATATGCTCAATGAAATAAAAGATATAAAATACCACTAATTGGGTTTCACAAACAAATTTTCAAAAAAGACAAATTTGTCCCCGTTGTGCAATCCATTGTATATTTTCAATAAGACTTCACCAATCATTTTTTTTTCAGATAATTTGTTTAGCCTTAGGTATGTGGTCGGTGATAAAAATAAAATGATGTCCCATGTTCCTCTTTATATTTGTTTATTGCAGTATAGTCTTGAATACTGGAAAAATTAAATTAATAAAAAAAAATATGGTTTTTGATTCGAATTGTATGTGCTCCATTTCTGTTCATCAGCCTGTCTTGATTGGGGGAGTTAATTTTTTATAGTCTATATGATCCTTCCATATAACGATTCATGCTGTTTAATTCAAAAATGAAATTTAACTTAAATTTCAATATTCTTTAAAATTAAATTTTAATATAAGCAGATCACATATAAATACAACTTCAACAACAATTATTGAAACTGGAATGTCAAACAGGATTACTCCAACTAATAATTTCACGGTGTGATTAAAAGATTTAAAAAAATCTGTGTTTATTATCAAGAAATTATTGTGAACATTCAAAATTCATTAATTAATTATTATTACATTAGTTTAATATGATAAATATTCACAATTAATTAATTATAGAATCCGTGAAATATAATTTTTTAAATTTCGTTAATTTAAATATATTTTGTGAACGAGTAAACTGTTCAAAGATTTTGATAAGGTTGGGGTGTGTAATGGATAACATGAAAATTTTCTCGGAAGACTTCTACCAGTTACTAACTTTTTATGCAGAATATGAAATAAAAAAAACACAGAAGAATGTAGTTATAATTACAATGTTGCTTCCGAGCCAATACCTGCGTTTGTTTGAATTGAGACACTAATTTTAATTTCTAATTATTTTTTTTATTTTTCACTGGTTTATTGATAAATATTACAATAGAAATAGAAATAGAAATAGAAATGAGAGAGCATATTCACGCCATATTTATAAATAAGAATTATAAATAAGTAAGGCAATAACAAAATAATATTCAGCGAAATAAGAAAAAAATAAAATATCATAATGAGAGAAAAAAAAATTTTAAACCCAGACACTAAACCTATATAACTAGAATAGTTCAGTAGTACTTATATTTTAGTTGAATTTTATTTTTTAGGATAATTTTATTGTAGTAATTATAAGAGGCTCACATGTTATCTTCAAAATTCTGTTCGTAGCAGATTTGAACAATGAAATGGAGATGTGAAGCATTAAAATGGAGAAGACGTTCCATAATAATTCCATCAGAAATTTGTCATTTCCTTCATCGTCGTGTTGACAAAAGATTTCCCCTCACTGCCTTCTTGATCAGGAATCAGGGAGCGAGTAATTCGAGGAGGGAAAAAAAGATGGCGACCGCTTCCCTAATTGCGTTACTTCTTAATACAGCCTGACTCATTTCACTTAACAAGGCGGGCCGAGGGATCCAAAATTAATTCCTCAACGGCGAGGGGAGGAGAGATTCTTTCCTCTACTTCCCCCTCACAAATCTTACTTTTATATCCGCTCTTAGTCACGTTTTCGACCCGGATCGGCTTGTGGGGTTATCGCAGATTTAGGGTGGCTACCACCCTCACACTATATCATAAGGCTTTATTTTATGTTGGTGATATACTGAAGAATATTATTAAAATTATACTTAAAAGTAGAAAATCGTCTTCAGCGGCTTAATTTAAGTTTTTTGGGATGCTTCATAAGAATCTGAAGTTGTCCGAAAAAATCTTTCCCTTCAAATATGAAAAAAAAAAATTTAAAAACAGCACTAACAATCCCTATTTTTTTTCAACCTTAATATGCATAGTTCAATTTTCATGCAGAAAGCGGCCTATTTTAAAATAACATATTAAAGCCAACGGACTTCGAACAATTAGTGAAAATTAAAATTCAAGTTTCACTCCATACCAGACTGAAGCGACAAAAAACCACTCGACGTTTCCGATTACTTCAGCACTCACTAGACAAACGCTCTAAACTTCCAATTAAAACGTCCAAAAGACTCATATACATGACTATAATAAGGCCTATTTGGACCTACGGAGTTGAGCTATGGGGCTCCACTAAACCATCGAATTCCTCCCATATCCAACCCTTACAATCCGAAATCCTTCGTAAAATCCTCAATGCTTCCTACTTTTTTACAAATAAAACCATCTATAATGACCTTATTCTGTTTCTTATTTTTCAGATCTAGCCACAGGCGGATCTACGGGGGCTGGGAGCTTTGGGGCTGAAGCCCTCACCAAAATGGTAAAATATAAAAATGTTTTATGGAAAAAAATATCTCTTTAAGTATTATTGTTCGTGTAATTACATTTAAAAGAACTTTAGGTATCACTTAAACACCATTTCATATAGGTATTTAGTTTCTTTCTTTTTTTCCAAATTAATTATCGTTATTTTTATGAAAAAAAAAGCTTTCGGGCTGAAGCCATCTCCCCCCAAAATTAAATCCTGGATCCACTAGTGGATCTATCCCAATCCAGATACCTGCCCTTCCATAATAAACTTCAAAATCATCTCAACCCTCTCGTTTCTAACGTTGCTTCATTTTCAATTCCTGATAACCCTCCGAGGCGTCTGAAAATTGCCCCGTGATCTTCTAATGTAGACATATTATTAGAGCGCTACCATTGGTGTAGTTTCTCAACACTCAAAAGTGTTTCCACGTCATAATATCCATATGATCAAATTTACTAAATGTATTTCTTTAATACAGTTCTAAATATTATTAAGAAATAAAATTTAAAAAAAGTTTTACTCCTAGAGTAAAATTCTAGTGTAATTGTTTTCAGTGCCTTAGTTTATTTATTTTTTGTGTATGTTATTGGACAAAAATCTGAAGCTTTCCAAAAAAAAGTTATTTCCCGCAAATATGAAGGGTGGTTAGAATACAGTCCTAAAAATCAATTTTTATTTTTGTTTGTAACATGCAAAGTACGCTTTTCATGCAGAAAGTGAATCTATATTAAAATAAAGTTGGGAAAATTATCTAAAATACATTTTCTTATGGGTTTTTCAAACGACTAATGGATTCCGCGCAAACGGGCGTCGAAATAAGTCTTTTTTAAAAAATTATAAAAAACATATTTATTAAAAATTATACTGAAAAACATAAATAAAAAATTAAATGTGATATTCAAACAAAGCGTAAAAAATATTTGTTTAACAGTCTTTTCAGATATTAGCCTTTTTATTAATATTATATTTATATTTTTAAGTATATATTTTCTTGAAAAGAGTTCACCGATGAGCATAACATATGTTTCTTGTATTTAAAAAAAAAAAAAAAGATTTTCTCCAATCTTTTGATGTTTGAGCGAAAACCATTAGTAGTTCGAAAAAAAAACCTTACGAAAATTAATTTAGATAATTTTGTCATCTCTGTTGTTATAAAAAAAAAACAAATAATAATATCCAGATTTTTCATATTTGTCGAAAAACATTTTGTTAGACACTTCAGATTTATTTTCAGCACCTCAAAGAATAAAAATTAAGAAAATAAAATAATCACTTCAGAAATTTTAAACTATAAGTACAATTTTTGGATTATGATTTTCGAAATTATTTTTTATGTCTGTTCGAAAATCAGAAGTTGTTCAAAGAAAAAAATTATTATAACATAAATTGGAGGTTATTTTCTGACCTTTATTTTAAAATAGTCAATTTTTGCGTAAATAACTTGCTTACCATATTATAAGCAAAACATCATAATTTTTAAAGTTTTTTAAAATGATTTTTTATATTTGTAGAAAAAAATATGTTAAACAGCTTCGAATTCGTGTGCAGTAAAAGTTAGAAACTGAAAAACATTATACTAGATTTTTGCACTTCAACCTTTTGGGACCTAAATTTTTAGGCACTGAGAATACCACTAATACTAAAATTCAAATTATAGAAAAACCTAATTGTTCTTAAGATTGGAAAACTTCCTCTCTATTATATAAAAAAGTTTTATTTAGTGACTTTCAAATTTTATTTTATTTTAATATAATTAGCGTATGAGGTAACAGGAGTTTAAGTAGTGCTGCTCTCCTATGGTGATTATTTTACATATTATACAGCTGTTCATTTAATTACATATGTGTTAAGCTCTTGTTACCTCCTACTTTCGTAATACAAAATAAAGATTATAGACTAAAAATTTTTACAGGGAAATGGTATTCATCTGGTCGTGGTAATTTGATTTTACCTAGGAGACAGCAGTCATTATTCGATCAAGACATTTCCCCTTAAATACAATATATTAATTATTATATTATTTATATTATATTGTATAAAATTATAATTATTGTGAAATAGAAAAGGAAGCACAGTATAACGTATAATGAAAATATTATAAATAAAAGGCTCAAATTATTTTTGGGCTTATATTATGGTTACAAATTGGCAATAAAAATAATTATAATTTTATAATAATAAAAATGAGACGTGATGTATAATATAAGTTTTTAAAGAAATTCAAAATATGTCCGAACTGTGGTTTCATTCAGTTTATTTTATGTCAGTAAAAAATAATACAATATGAAGAACAGAATATATGTAAATTAAAGTTATACAATTTGAGCAACGAGTAGTACAATTAAATGAAAAGTTATATAATTTGTAAAATGGGGCTGGTCCACCGTTAGGCAGAGAAGGGGTACTCACTTCTAAGTGTACTAGGTCCCCCTAGTATATACAAATTCTCAAATTTCTTATCAAAGCTTATTACAAACCAGTAAACACTTTACCAAATCCAGGTATCTTTGGCACTACAAGATTCATGGAGGAAGGGTTGGGTATCATGCAGAAGCATCTCCAAACAAAATTTGAAGTTGTTTTTAAGTTGGTCTATTTTTTATTCTACAATGGTCTAAGTTAAATACTTTAATAATTACAATATAGTTTCTTTTTTAATCATGACACATTTAATTCAGCTACTAAATGTAAGCATCTATCAAGAAAAAATATAAAAATGTTCTCCTTAAGAATATTATTCTTTTAATTACTGTTAGATAGAAAAAAACTTAATTTCCAGTCACTCAATTTCATTACTCCAAGTGGTGTAAAAAACACAATTTTGATCTACAAAAATTTAGGTCCTTCTGTTGCTATGAAATATCTCTTTCCTCATGTCTTGGATACACAATTGTATTCTGAATTTTCTAGACTTGAAATGTTTACCGTTAATTCATTAGTTCACATTCTTAAATATCTACGAAAAAATCATTAAATAAGAAAAAATAAATCATTAGTAGCTGGATTCTACTTAATTGGTAACATATTTATTAAATGAAGATTAAAAATCACATGAACATATATATATATATATATATATATATATATATATATATATATATATATTTAAACATTTCTTTATTGATTAATATTACATTGTGTCGCAATTAAAAACATCAGTACAATAAATAAAAATAAATTAAATAAAATAACAGAAAAATAATAATATTAAAAATACATAAATATATATAAACAATGAACTTATCAAGATAACAATGTAAACAAAGTCATACTTATATGTAATATTCACAAACATTTATTCAGGAGAACTCTTGTTTTTTCTCCCCCTATGTGGAAGCACAACCACACTCTAAAAATGGAGTTAATTTATTTAATGGAGTTTATATTATGTAGTATTTGAATTTTATTTCATTCAATATTTCTGTAATATGGTTGCTTTATTGATAGGCAAAATTGGGTCTATGCTTTACAGATATATAGGTCGGCAAAAAAGATCCACATCTGCAAACTACAGACTTTTCAATCAAAAACTTTCTGAACTATCACGAAGGCTCCCTGGTATGTTAGTAACATTACTTTAAATAAAGACCTACAGATGCCAACAGTTAACAAGCACATTTTGAACACAATATAAAAGATTTCACAACAACTTACTCAGACATACCCATTCACTGATTCAAGGGACGACCACCACCAACATGCACGATGATACCTGTAGAAGGCTCAAAAGAAGGTGGATGCATGATCTCCTCCACTAACTAAAAATATTAAAATCAAGACAGGAAAGGATGCAGCTGGGCACTCCTCTCCCTCACACCTAACAGCGCCTTTTTCCTTTATACTTCTTTCATGAATTTGCTTAAGGTCAGATTCTAAGGTTTTATCCAGGAATTTATTATTTTTATTTTAAAGAAGTATATAGAAGCCAAAGAACACATTTTTATTTGTTTAAAAAATTAAATTACATAGGAACATGCATATTTTATTGGTGCTATTTAAATGGTTACTAATATTCTAATTTATGACTTACTTCAGAAAAGAGAATTATTTGAGTTGTAAAAAATAGTGAAAACTATTTTTTTTAAAGATTTATAAGAATATTTCATTCTTGTTTTAAGTTTATTAGAGTAAACTTTAGTGTAAGTTTTTATAACAATATGTATTACATGTTTTTTTCTTGTCTCTATGGCTGCAGGACTACAATCTATCTGTTTCCAACGGTTTAATTTTATTAAATGGCAATAATTGTTCCAAATCTTCCAAAATATAGGTACCGAATGATCATAAATATACAAATTCCTCATTGCCACATATTTGATCCCACTATTAACCGAAGATTTTTCAAACATTTTTCATTCTAACATATTTAAACATATTCTATTTCAATTTTATAGGTATTACATACTACATTACATACCTTGTGAGTAACTCAGAAGTTAATAAATAACTATGCAAATGAATCATTCTCGAAATTTGATTTCTGAAGTCTATTCAAATATGATAATTTTGATGTTAAAACATGAATTTTAACTAATTCTTGCATTTAATAATTAAGAATATTTAAGACTAAACAATTTTAGAAAAAATATATAAGTAAAGTTGTAATTGCAAATTTTAATGGTTTATATAAAATATATATATATTTTTTAATTTTAATGGAAAATCTTAAGTTAGTCTGTTGTGTAAATCAATTATATTATTTTGTCAATAAATAAATTTATAAATATGTATTTCACACTTTAGAACATTTCAGCCATTTCATTCTATATTAGAATTCTGCTTTGTTCACCACAGTTGGAAATTAAATGAAAATTATTAAGATTAGAATAAGTTATGTAAAAAAAAAATTGAATGAGTTTAATAGGTTAAGGAATGTTTTCAAATTATTAGAAAACGAATACACTTTATGTGAAAAGTATTATTTAGAAGGGAATGAACTGTAAAACATTAGAGTGCCTTATTTATTATGTTTATAATTGTTGATTCCCAAAAAAAAGTACATATTCTACTTTGTAATTATACACTACTTTGTATTACAAAATAGTACAAAATAATCTTTTTTATTAACTATTCTTATACAATTATAGCAATTTTTTAGGGTATTGAGTTTACTGTATTTCAGTATCACTTCATTGATCTTAAATTAAATTGTTTTCAATCTTTCCCAAGACTTTTAAAATTTTAATTACCAATGCACAGTTATTAACAATGTACGGGTATTTCGAAAATATTTCACTGCCTTTCTGAGTCTTGATTTTTCAACATGCTTTTAAATCTATTATAAAGTTCATACTTTTCTTTAAACATAAAGATTTTAGTTAAGAGCCATGTTCACAAGAAGAATGACAAAATTAAACTGAATTTGAAACAAAAATTGCTTAAAAGTTATTATTTTGTTATTATACTCAGTGAATCTCACAATCTCATCTGCACATTCGCATATATAAGTATATATACTTATTTTTTTATTGCCGTCATTTATAACTTGGTTATTTATAAGTTTCTCACAACAGTGAGAAATTTTAATTCGAGTTTATTGTATCATGTATTACATACTTCTAAAATAAAAGCCATGAAATTTTAAAAGTATAAAATTTTACAAAAAAAAAATACATATTTTTAATACAGAGAAAAACATCATATTTTTAATATGGGGAAAAACAACTATTTAAGAGATCATCAATCTAATCCACCACAAGTTTTTTTTACTACAAAAGTGTGGTGCATACATCACAAAACTTTCACTTACAGCTCTACTTTGAACAGAAATTATTTTCTCCCAAAGTATTACAAAGTTTTTGAAATGCATTTTTAACAGAGCTAAATTTTACTTTAAACCTTACAACTAACCTTTAACAACTTATTAAAATAATTTTTTTCTTTTTGCATTACAGACCTTGTAGGTATTTTGCCGCCTTAACAATCCTCCATCTCTGCCTGTCTTGCACTATTTCTTGTTTCCCTATGTATTATTTTATGGTTTCCTTATTACAAAACTAGTAAAATAATACAAACTCTATTTATTATATCGATGATAGATGATAAAAACCTAGTAGCCCCATCTGTATTTTTAACTACTTAATATTTAATATTTTTAACCTCATAACTTCAGTCTTTGAGATATATATGCCAAGAGACATTAGAAAGTGCATATGTATATTTAACCTATAAATGAGGATGGATTGTACTAGATTGTAAAACATTTAAAACGAAATCCGAATAACATTATAGTCATTATTAAACTCTCATTTCTTTCTTGAAAAATTTAACAAAAATGGAGTTATGGAAGTTATTACCTATCATTGATAAGTCAAAAGTGACTCTGGATGTAAGTTGTAAGTAAATAATGTTGCAATTTCACAGAGGAGAAATTCATTAAATTATTCACTGGTACAATTTTCTGTAATGTAAACTAATGATTTTTTTCAGAATAAAATGACAATAAATATCTATATATTCTATTATTTACAGAAATTCATTTTCAATCTGAAAAAAAAAAACATTTTTCCTCCTTTAGTCAATTTTAAAATCTATTATAGTTCTATAATATTTATGATATCAAATCTATATTATTCAACCATATTTTATTGCAATTGGTAACGAAAGACAATTAATTATTTAAAATGAACCAAATTAAAGGTACTTTAGAGGAAGAAATGTTTATCATTATGTATTTAAACCTTGTTATTTGACATCAATGAGAATAAAACTCTGCTGACATTAAAGACTATTTGTATATTGATGTTCTGAGTTTAATCAAAATTGTTTGAGCCGTTTTTGAGAAAGTAGTAGAAATGTGTAAAATTGATGATATAATGTTGCACTTCCCGGTAAGCTGATAACAAAAAAGTTGCTCTAACATCACATCCATACACCCATCTTAAATACATAATTTCAGTTTTGTGCAACTTTTTTTTTTCGATAGGCTATACACATAGACATAGACACAGATACTGACACATAATACATACAGACAC